TAAAGTCCGGACCTTTATACTTTTTGATTTCGCAAGGGTCGCTAAGAATAATTACATTTCCAACACACTGAATACAGCCATAATTGTAATATTACTATTAAAACGTTTCTGACATTTCAGCACAAACCAACAACCTCAACCAAAACATTCGGATTGGTGTCAAAGGCCGACTATTAGGTTTTGTTTCCTAAGTTCTTAAAAAAAGGATTTATTGAAAAAGAATTGATTATAAATTAATTAGAATAAAAAATAGAACTACAGATCCTACGGTAAATGAAGGTTTGTGGTCAGTGATGCAATTAATCGTATTAAATCATCGATGAGCTAAATAAACTAAATAAATCCCGGCAAAAATGTAAATTTGAAAAAGAAATGAGGTTTTTTCTACTCACACATTCGCAAGCTACCCCAACACCTACTTAAATGTCCGTTGTTTTCAATATGAGGGCACATGACTCCCAAAGGTTAATATAAATTTTGTACTTAAATCATATTTTTCAAAATGCCACCCAATGTCTCAAATCCCAGGCCATCTGTTTCCCATACAGATGTCCAGGATACATTTTTGTCAGTATTCTATTTGCCTTTCCATTTTTTGATCAGGTTGGGGAAGTTTGACAGATGTATCTGTTCTTATCCTGACAGTCTACATCGTCCCACATAGGATTGCCATTGTCTGCTGCCCAGTACTGTACGCAGAGTTTCGCCGCATGTAGCCATCCCTGGTTATCTGGCTCTCCGGGGCACCATGCCTAATGGAAACAGAAGACACAACATTGTTTAAAGTTAAAACTTTTGATCCAACGCAACAAAGTTCTCTCACCTAGAGCTTTCGATCAGTCACTCTGGTCTTCCTCAGTAGGCTGACGCAGTGAAGCTTGGCACGTGGCTTCTTTGAAGTGTTTTAACTTTAAACATGTAACTTTCATGATAAGACATAACATCTGTAACGCAACCCAAAACACATTTCATGTACCTTAATGCTTGCTTGTTATATCGATTACATATCATTTATAACCTTATAAGTTTAGGAAACAAACATGACATCAACATGACTAAACTTGTAAAACCTATGTTTATGTTAATAACAAAATAATCTTTAAAAAATCTGGATATTATGTTACATAATATGACTAGTACCTGTATCTATTAATTCAATTTAATTCAATCGTTATTTCAGGCACAGGGCCCATATCAATACATAAATAAAAAATACAGGTACACAAATATAAATACATAATACAGATATGTACAGTAAATGAAAATACAATGTGAATACTGTTTAAATATCAGGTTGACATGATGCTTCTAGAAGTTGCTGAGAGAGAATAGATCAGAATAAATTACAAGTTTTATGAAACCATTGTTTGAGCTGAGGAGGTGTGTGGCAAAAGTATGTTAATATTTTTCTGCTGATTAATTTCGAAATATAAAAACGTAGAAAACAACATAGCAAAAAAAGCCTAGAAAACAAGTTACCTGTTAATTCTTGTATGCAGGAACTAAGTATCCTATTGGTTCAATAATAACTTTTTCGCCAGGCGTTTGCTGCTTTAGGAAGTGGGGGAAGAGGGTATAAACATACCTGGTAGTTGCCCAAAGCACGGCCGTCCTCCCATTGCCAGCGTCTCGCATGGACATATTTGTACCCCACGTTCTTCATGCCGATCCAGTAATCTTGTTTTAGACCAACCGTTTTGATCAGGTTCCTCAGGGCGACGTCCAATCCTCGTGTCTTAGGCATGGCTAGTGTCCCTCCGTCGTTCATGCAGACTTCCCTGGCGACATCGTAAGAAGTTTTTCTGACGGAGAGCCGAATGCATGTCCCGACTACAGGTGTGTAGCCGGCTTTGCAGCCTTCATTTTGTAACAGACATACAAAAACAGTGTTATATTTGCACCGTGCACCCCTCGTTTTCTCTTGTTTGATGTACCATACATATTGTATTATCTAATTTTATATTATCTTGTATACGTTCACAAGGGTTGGGCACGTGATGTGCACGTCAAAGTAATAAAGCCTAATTTATTACCTTCCTTCCTATGTATTGGATAACTAACGTATTCAGTCATGAACTATCATAGCACCGGACTCGACAGATATACTATTACAGTAATAAATTTCAACATTCTATTTTCCATCAGAAATGTATTCCTATGTTAAACAGATATCGGAACTAAAGGGGGTTGCTATGACATGATATCTGTGTCAGAATTAAGGACGTATTTTTTTTCAATTCACGCCAAAGTTGATACAAAATATTTAACGTTCCACGAACTAACTACGCTTCACATTTCGATGCATTGCATGTAATTTATTTACTTGTGTATCTAGAATGAGTTCATAATTCTAAACTAGACATATATTCTCTCGTACCTGATGGGATTCCGTAGAAGTTCAGTTCTGTGAGATATGGCTGCCAGCCCGAGTGGGTCCGCGTGACCACGAACCTCCAGTACCGCGCTGTTCCCTGGAACCCGCCGAACTCCTGACGCTGCCTCGCCCCTCCCTGCACGTTAGTGATGGTCACGACGTCCTTCCAGGTGCGCGGACACCTTACATGTGATGCCTGCAACTTGAAGGCTGCAATGTCATGGGTGGTGTCTCCGTAGTTGTTAACTGCGATGCGGGTGAGAGTGTGGGACGATTTGAGGTCCAGTATTATGTACCAGTTGTTGAAGCTCTGGTCGGTACCGGTAGGGTTCCAATAGGTCATAGTGTCCCCGTCCAAGGCTTTGGTGGCATCATATGTCACTCCGTCCTTCACATGAGGTCTGCCGATAGACTCCAAAAACCATGACGAATCCTGGGCCAACCATCCACCTGGGGAATAAAAGCCTATTCAGAAAATAACATCCTTTCTTCTATATGTTAGGTATATTGCATCCTCGTTTCTAGGAACGCTTCACGACTTGTGGGCCATATTTAGTCTCCAAGGAAATGTAAGGGTACCCCTCAGTGCTTTACTGAATTATATGTGGTTCAATCTAAGGTGTTTCAATCTAAGATGATCTTCATCTATTTTATCAACCAATTTCCCTTGGTCTTGAATGATAGGAAAGACAGATAGTATTTCCAGTATACAGCCTGAGGGAAATGTGAATAAGTTAAAGGTACTGGTGATGTTCCCTCTAGGCTAGTACGTACCCTTTCCAACATCCGAGCAGCAAAAGCGGACCTCATAATCCAGACATATGCCGTCAGGCTGGTCCACATTCCTGCAGAGGAACCCGGCGGTCGTGTCGTAGGAGTAGATGTGTTGTCCTGTCAGGGACGCCTCCTGCTGTGTGGAGATAACGCGGGCGTGCACGGCTGTAGGAGCGTCGCAGATCTGCCCTGGATAGTCCTGGCTTAGATCGGTTAGGATTTCACTGTCTGCAGTCCCTGTGGGGTCGTCACGATCGAACCAATCCGTCCAGGACCCAGAAGGACACTCTGTCCCTTTAAACAGGAGACCTGTCAGTTTGCATGGATTGTATACAACAACCTTCAGTTTAATATGGGACTTCCACTTTAATTTGGGACTAATATATCAGCAACCTTACATCTAGATGGGCCAATATTGTAAGCTATAAGTAAAAATAATGTAAGAAAAAATATATATGTAGCAGCCATCGAAGACCCCTCGCGGATTAACCCAATTCTGTAGAATTCTGACTCCAGTTCCAGAATTCTGCAGAACTGGGTTACTTCCCATGAGGTTCTTAATGGCAGCTACATACTTCGTTCATCATGTTTGCCTATTTGCCAATATTAGCACATCTAGATGTTAGGTTGCTGAGATATGGCAATAGTACCAAATTAAACTGGAAGTCACAAATTAAACTGGAGGCTCTTATAGGTAAAACGCATCAACAGACAACAGACCATAAATATTAGAGACTGAAATCAAGGGGGCACACCCCAGTTTATTTGGCGTTTCGAAGCTTAACACTTGTATGTAAACCTGTACACCCATTCTTCCTCCTCATTCCAAATTTCCCCTAGAAAGGCCAACATTTGCTCAGGACCAAATGTAGCATGGCTTCACACACACACACACCCTTCACATCCCCCGTACCAAAAATGATACCCATACTATAGTATGGGTGAAATGTAAAAATATTTGAATTTGTTTAAAGAAATGTAACCAGTAATATGATAGTCTGACCCTGCTATTATTTATGGTTGCTGGACAGTCTGGGATGTTAATGAGTTTATGTGGTTATGGGGTCAATTCAGTATTCAAGCTGCTGGAAAAGCCACAGTGGGGAGTACTTGAGTGCTGCAAAGAAGACTACGTGAGAGCAGCACTGACAGCCTCCACCAGATGCTAAACTGGAAACACCTGACTGAAAGAAGATTTGAACATGTGTGTGTAACAGTATTTAAATGTCTGAATGGCTTGATGCCCACATACCTATCCTCTACTTTCTTGCACAATTATAATCTTCATACCTATCACACCAGACAGACTACTAAACTACACTTACCAAAATACAATACCTCAACTGGTCAGCGAGCCTTCGCTTACACGGGTGCAAAGTACTTCAATAGACTATCAGCTGAAGTAAGGCAGATTCAAACTTTAAAACACTTCAAGGCAGCTTTAAAGACGACCTCTGACCTCCAATCATTTTGAACGGAAATCGATTTACGTTGATTATGATTATGATTTGAAGTTATGTTTTCTTGTAAATTCCCTCAGTTCATGTTGAACTTCGTATTATTCATTTATTTATGTATAACTTCCAGTTATATTGATTTCATTT